GAATTGCTCACAAAGGTCCTTAGGCAATTTCAAATTTTAATGTTAGCTTTAAGCTCCAATGATTGCTTCAAGTTCCAAAGTTTGCCTTTCTTATAGTCAAGTACCTAATTTGAACAAATAATATCAAGAATGAGAAAAGAATATACAAAAGAAAATAAAATAAAAATAGAAACAATCAAATGAACACTATTGTCTAGTCTAACTCCAACAAAACCGTTAATTCCTTGCAACGGTGCCAAAATTTGACGATGCCCCTTTCTATGTGTTTAAAAAGTGAACTTTGTAATGCGAGAGGTCGCTTCCTAAGGTCAAAATATGAATGTGGTTTAGGAAGCTTTTTTAGTCAAATTTACATTTATAAAAACCACTACTATAACTAATGAAGTATAGTGAGTAGGGATCGTCCACAGAGATTATATGTGTTGAAATTTAATTTCGACTCTAATGTATCAATTGATTGCAAAAGAGAGAGAGTTGGGTTGGTTGATTACTCTAGAAAATAATTAATTAAAATGCAAGTAAAATAAAACTAAGTTGAGATAGGGAATTAAGAGATGAGAAGTGAGGTCTTGGGGTGTATTGGAATTGCCACCAAGCTTGTTCACCAAACCACACACTTTCAACTAATTTAGGAAAAACATTCTTGTGAACAAAATGCGACTACCAATTGCAATATTAAGCATGGACCATCAAATTCAATAATGTATCGTCTACCTAACCAACAAATAAACTAAGTGTAGAACAACCCATCAATTCTAAGCATGACCCATCAAACTAGTCATAATTGTAGCACACATCAATCTAGAGAATCATAGAATTTGCAATAATAAGCCATGGAATATAAAATCAAGTAAAGATTGTCTACCTACCTACAAGCATGAATTAAATTGTAGAACAACACATCAAGTATAAGTATAATCCATCAAATTAATTGGCAAACCTATCTAATAAAAACCATGTCTAGCCATTACTAGATTCTCAATTCATCACACATAGACATGCAACAAACATAGAGAAAATAATGTAGAGATCAATTCCCTAATAATCACACATAAGACAACATGTAATCATATAGAGAATCAATAGAAATAATTAATTAATAGAAATCAAAGGAGAACCCAAGATTTATTAAATTCACAAGGCTAAAACACTAATCACAAGATATTATTTCCCAAAAAGTATGAAAAAGATAGAGGTTTAGATTACAAACTTGGGGCTCATCCAATCCCCAAGGAGAAGTCTAGCCAATCATGGAGGAGGTGGGTGTGATATTAGAACCCTCAAGGGTAATCTCCAAACATGGCTCCATCTTCTTCCTCTTCTTCTTTGTTGAATTCTAGAGAGAAATAGAGTGTATAGATGTTGAAATGTGTTCTTAGAGCCTCCATTCTTCTCTTTTCTTCTAACCCTAATCTCTAACTTTTCTAGAGAGAGAAAATAAAATTACAATGTAAAAGTAAAATGATAAAAAGCTCTCTTACAAAAATAGTTCATTTAGATTATATACAAGCCTCTTTGAGTAGGCACCAAGTTAGAAATATAGCCAATGATTGGAGGAAATTCATAGCTATACAAGTTAGGTAGAAACCGACGTGCTCGGGAATTAGACAGCTCACTGTCAACAGTATTTTCGATCGATCGAAGATTCTCGATCGATCAAACACTCAACTTCGATTGATCGAAGTTGACGTAGCATCAAAAATATCTTCTGGGCCTTATCTACTTTGCTGAGCTGGCACCGCCTCGTTTCGATCGATTGTAGAACTCTTTGATCGATCGGGATTCCCTTCGATCGATCGAAGCTCCTCTGGTGCATTTTTCTGGCTTCTTTCCAACTTTGCTCCTTAGCTCCATAATTGAGCTAAATGGCTCTTATTAGGCTGTTTGGACTTTATTGACCTGAAATAGGCAAAAGCACAAATAAGTATCTAAGACATTAAAGTAAGATAGATGAATGGACAAAAATACCCTAACTTAGGTGCTAAAATGCGTCACATTTAAGCACTCATCTGGCAGCCTCCAAGCTCTAAAAATGGTGGTTGCTGCTGATACTTTAGGATATAAAAAGTTAGAAATGCTTTCTCTCTCATCTACTAACCCTAAATAGGTCAAAAAGGTGTCCCGAACAGTCCGAACGGGTCCCGTCCGGGTCAAAAAAGTGAAATATGTGAAGACGTGCTCAAATGCCAATGGTCTGTGAACAAAAAAGTTTTGAAATAGAATTCTAAGATCAACGGAAGAAACAGGTCAAAAATCGAGTCCCGAGTGAGGTAATATGCCCCGGACAAAATTGACAACTAATGGGGTTCAAAAATTCAAATTAAATGAAATAAAAATCCGGAAGTGCCAGAGTCCATAAAAAGTGAAAATAAACCCCTTATCAAAGTTTGAACCCAAAACGAGAAATTTTTCTGAAAACTTTCCATAATTATACAAATACCCCTCCACTATATAACTCAAAAAGTAAATTTCTCAGAAAGCCCAAAATGAAGTGCCATTCAAAAGATACATTTAAAATAACCTTAAATACAAAATTTTATCAAAAGATAATTACGAAATATACCCCAAGTAAGAAAACAATTTTCAAGAATCTTTGCATTTATATCCCTACGGGCAAAAGCAAACATCTAGCATGCTTTTCTAGAAAAGTAAAAATTTGGATCACATAAAAATAAAGTAAAATGAATGCATGCAAGGTCAGATTTTCGAGCATGACCTGATAGGTTTCGCAAAATGAAAAGACAGTGAAAAAGTGACGAAAAATAAAAAAAAAAACTCGGAAAAAGAAATCAATGAAAAAAAATTATCCATAAAATTTGAGAAAATGGAAAAGAAGGAAAATGACCAGGTCATTAGATAGAGTGCTGTTTGATCTGCCAGTAATCCTTCTACAAGAGTTAATAAAGTAAGCTTGAAGTCGAGAGCTGTTAGATAGGGGGGTCGCAAAGATGAAAACGGTCAGCCGTTGGTCCTTGGTAGATTGAAGGGGTGTAAGTCTGGATCAAAATTCAGTGTACTTTGCTTCATACATAGTAGATCATTTTGCTTAGGACATCGTGAAAGTCCTTGAGATTTTTCCAATTGGTTTTCTTCGCTAAAAATCCAGTGTCTCTCAAACTCTACTTTACTGCATTTATTTTTGCTTTGTGGGTTGATTAATTTACTTTTAATTTGGTAAATTTAATTTAAACAAAAAATTGGATAAAACGTTACACTTATTCATCCCCCTCTGAGTGATTTTTTTAAAAAATTCCATAACCTATTACATATAGCGTGACTCACATAATACAGTTCACCCGTCCCAACATCCTTATATATCATATTAATGTTTTCCTAAATTTTTGGAGCAAAATAAATATATAATTTCAAAAGAATAGTTTGGTATGTTGAAAAAAGTGTTTGGAGGGCATTTTGGACCTCAACAATAACTTTTAATGAATATGTAATTATTTTACTTAATTTAGCCAGAGTAAAAAACAAACTTTTAAAATAGACCACTTTATTATTTAGGTATCCTTAAATGTAGTTTTCCCTTCTCTTTTTATAATATAATTTCAGAAAGTACATCTAAATAAGAAAATTATATATAAATTAACAGCAATTCATAAATTGGGAATAAAATGATGACATAATAGAAATAAATTTAGTCTCTATATTTGATTTTTGAACTTTCTCTCACGAGTAATTTTTTTAAGGATAGTGATAGATGGGCCGATGATTTTGGTAGATTAGTTTGGCAAATACAATGGCAGGTAAGCAACTTTAACAAATAAAAAAAGGAAAGAAAATAAAAGGAGAAACAATACAAGTGTTCGCAGATTCATTTTTCCTAGGCTGTCAAGTTTTTGGCTAAGTTTTTCTTTTCTAATAGTTATCAAATCTTTCCCTCTTCGTTTCGTCTCTTCAAATAATATTTCTTACCATCTTAACTTGAAGAGAGAAAAAACTTTTAATTACTGAAAAAGAGAGAGAGAGAAAGAACTTTTAATTTTTAAAGTATGAGTGCAATTCCATATCATATATTATATTCATATGTATTTATATATATTGTATCATATGTGTAATTTTTTTTTTTTGGAAGGTAAATATGTGTATTTATTTGTTTGGTTATATTGTTCTTTCACAGTCTATAAAAAAAATTTCAAAGAGATATTAGAAAGAAATAGAATGAGAAAAAGAAAGAGATGAGAGATAAAGAGATGGAAGTAGCCTAGCGATAGGCCATGTAGTTTCTGCTAAAGTAATTTGTCAAATACTTCAGTTGAAATATCATTTTCCTTTTTTCCAAATACAAAACCTATTTGGCACTTCATGTTACAGAGTAAAAATAGGTCATTTACAATCAAAATATAAGATACATTTCAAAAAAAAAAAAAAAAAAACTCTCCAAAAATAAATCAACAAAAACAATTCTCTTTACTTACCGAAGAAAAAAAAAATTCAAATAAAGTAATAATTGAAAATTTAACGAAACAAAAACTATGAAAGAAAACACAAACAAATCAATAAACTAAGAATTTAGAAAAGAAAACACAAACAAATCAATAAACTAAGAATTTAGGTTATTCAATCATCGATTCTTGTTGATTTTCAAAATTTCATAGTTCTTCTATATTTTGTAGAAATAAATATCTTATAGATATCTCATAGAAGCATTCCAATACATTTCACACATATGCAAACCTAGTTTTATAGAAAGACTTTATTTTTCTATTATTCTGAATATAAGAAGAAAAAAAAGATAAAAAGAATCATGTATGAGATGAAATTTTAATATAATTAGATAATGAAAAGAATCTTACTTGAGTCGGAAGAATTTTAGAATTATTACGTTATGGAAAGAATTTAGTTTGAATTAGAATTTTACGCCAAACACATCAGATTTTCATGTGAGTCTGTTTTTGTAGGTACTGATAGTAGTCAATTATGTTATTTTCTTTATAATTTATAATTTATATATATATATATATAGAGAGAGAGAGAGAGAGAGAGAGAGAGAGAGGGGACGGGACCAGACCAAGGGCGCGTGCCCGTGGACCTTCATCGGCTCCGTTCGAGAGGGATCTCTTTGAAATATTACTCAAATAAAATAAATAAAAGACGAACTTAAGACCAGGTCCCCTGGTCGTTTAGTTTAGTAGGTTTGATAATTTTTGGACTCCGTGAACGAAAAAATAGCGCCTTTAATTCGTTTCATTTATCCTTGTAAAATCTTCATCTTTATCCAAATCTATGTTTTCCTTTTTTGGTAAGTACTAATCCAAATCTAATTGCTTATCAATACGGAACAACTCATGTATATGTTGATATACATATCTATATAATTATACTCTCTATCCAGTCTATCCCATAGAATTCTCTCCCAATTTTCTTCTACTGTAAAATCATCTTCTTGGTGTGTAAGTTCGGAGTTTCATTGTGATAGTTCTGCTTTGCTCCAATGGGCGATTGCTCTCTCCCTCAGGATTCTCTTTTCCTTGGATTCGACAGCTCTACTCAGTAAGTAATTGTTCCTTCTCATTTTGAATTTTTATTGCCAATTAACATATTTCAATTACCCATAACTTAATTTTGATGGTTTGGATTGATTTAGTTTTTGGTTTCCTTGCTAATATCGAATTAATTCCTAATCAAAGAAGGGTTTTGAAATTTTGATGTAACGATATTGGTGTGTCATGTATTGGGTACTCTTTTTTTCATCATTAATCAACTACCACATTTGAACCTTTAACTTGATTTTGATAGTTTGGATTGTTTGAGTTTCTGGGTTTCCTTGTTATGATCGAATTAATTCCTAATCAAACAAGGGTTTTGAAATTTTGATGTAATGATACTGTTGTGTCATGTATTGGGTACTCTTTTTTCATCATTAATCAAGTACCACATTTGAATTTTTAACTTAATTTTGATGAAATTTTCATGTAATAATACTGTTGTGTCATGTATTGAGTACTCTTTTTCATCATTAATGAAGTACTACATTTGAATTTTTAACTTAATTTTGATAATTTGGATTGCTTGAGTTTCTGGGTTTTCTTCCTATAAGCAAATTAATTCCTAATCAAACAAGGGTTTTGAAATTTTCATGTAATGATACTGTTGTGTCTTGTATTGGGTACTCTTTTTTCATCATTAATCAAGTACCACATTTGAATTTTTAACTTAATTTTGTAGTCTGGATTGCTTGAGTTTCTGGGTTTTCTTCCTATGATCGATTTCATTCCTAATCAAACAAGGGTTTGGGATTTTCCATGTAATGATACTGTTGTGTCATGTATTGGGTACTCTTTTTTCATCATTAATCAAGTACCACATTTGAATTTTTAACTTAATTTTGCTTGAGTCTCTGGGTTTCCTTGCTATGATTGGAATCATTTTTCCATGTAATGATATCGTTGTGTTATGTATTGGGTACTCTTTGTTCATTACTCTACCACATTTGAATTTTTCACTAATTTCATAGAACTTTGATTGTTTAGGTCAATAAAGGCAACTGTGTTAGATGCCAATCTTAACATTGTTTCTTCAGAAATAGTTAATTTTGATTCTGAATTGCCCCATTACAAAACCAAAGATGGTGTGTACAGAGACCCATCGGTTAATGGTCGAATTGTTTCACCCACTTTGATGTGGGTAGAAGCATTGGAAATTATACTTCAGAGGCTCCAGAAATCAAATTTAGATTTTGGGAAGATTGCCGCTATTTCTGGTAGTGGACAGCAACATGGTAGTGTGTATTGGAAGAATGGAAGTTCTGCAAAATTAGCATCATTGGACCCTAAGAAGCCATTGAAGGATCAACTTGATGGTGCTTTCTCAACAAATGAATCCCCAGTATGGATGGACAGCAGTACCACAGAGCAGTGCAAAGAGATTGAGAAAGCTGTTGGAGGTGCACTGGAGTTGTCTAGACTTACTGGGTCACGTGCGTATGAGAGGTTCACTGGACCACAAATTCGGAGGATTTTTGAGACACAACCGGAAATTTATCACAATACTGAAAGGATCTCCCTGGTTAGCTCCTTCGTGGCATCTCTACTTATTGGGGCTTATGCTTGTATTGATGAAACGGATGGTGCGGGGATGAACTTGATGGACATTAGGCAAAGAACGTGGTCTAAGATAGTTTTGGAGGTTTGTTTCTAGTTCTTTGAGATTGCACTTTGTGGTTTTGGAATCAAAATCATGATCCTTACTCAGTTCAATCAATCAAACGTTTCTTCTTTAAATGTTGTTGGTTTTATTTCAAGAGTATACTTTCTTCTTCAGTTGATGTTGAAGTTAAATGTTTATTATAGGCCACTGCACCAGGTTTGGAGGAAAAACTCGGGAAGTTAGCTCCTGCGCATGCTGTTGCTGGATTAATTGCTCCCTATTTTGTGGAGAGGTTAGTAATGCACTGTTTATCAACTCATAATGTCTATGATTTTCTTTTAAGATAGAAGTTAAGTTCTTACAGCATTATATTTAAGGTTCAGTTGGTATAGCCTTCATATTTATTTTCCATACATTTTAAGATGTAACAAAAATTTATGGACTGCACCTTGAATATAATGCTGTAAAAACATATAATGGTATAGCTATAGTGATAGAACCTGGTATGGACATTAGGTTTTAATGAAGTAATGACCTTGAGTCATAAACTTTCTTACAAAATAATAATAATGAGGAAGAATAGTATGCATAAAGTGACAAAATGATGAAAATATGTACAATGTGCTAGTCTTACCTCTTGGTTTGTAATACTTCGTACTACCAAAGTAAGTAATCATTCATCTTCTCGTGCTTCCCCAACACAAGTCTGCTTGTGCTTAAGGATATCATCAGCAACCTCATTAAAAACGAGCAAACTTTCTTTCATTCATATAATTGGAATAATAATTAAAAAAAAAATAACATTGATTTATAGGACATATAAAATGGAATGATTTATGTACATTTCTTTTCAGGTAAACAATATGTTAGCCCAACTTCAATATTTATTTAAATAAGCCTAAGGCTTAGCTAGTTGCACCACTCGCTTTCTTGTAATGCCTCCAGATAACAAACGCCAATCTGCAAGTTCCGAACCATACATTAAGAAACAAAATGAAACAAATATATATATATATATATATATATATATATATATATAAGTATACTGCTAAAGCAAGTAAGAAGCCATACTAACCTGCAGTGGTTGAAGATTTGCATGAGGTAGCTACTCAAGAACTGTATGCTCAGGTTTAGCTCTTCTTGACATTACTTGATGCACATGGTTTACAGGTAAGTAGCAAGTGCATGGATTTATAGGGATTAATCTTGAATCAAAATGGGCTAGGGGGACACCTTGGTGTAACCAAAAAAAGTTCCAAGTCATTGACTACTCTAATTGGGCTTTCAGTGTGGGATTTTGAGAAGGTTAAAGTATGAGATAAGTGAGAAGTGGATGCCAACAGTTCCTTATGTCAATTAGTGATTGGCTATATCAATACATATCGCTGTTAGTTTGTTGACAATAAAATGATTTTGAATTTCTAAAATGAGCATCAATACTTAAAATTAATTATCTTTTTGTGTCCAATGGCTCGGCTCCACATTGGGAAAGCTCTCCCCAAACCCATAAATCCTCCAACCCCATGTCCTCTATTAGGACTTGAACCCTGCAGCTTTCCTTAATGAAGGAGCATGAGATACCACAAGAGCTAGACTAGTGGTAGTGAAGTCCAGATACTCAAATAGATTCGCATCTACAGCTGGGAATAGATGTGCACTGCAGTTATATACATGGTGAAGCCACCCTCTGAAGGTCATGGGCTATGGAGGTCTGCTGTAACATTTATCATCCAGTTTGCAAGTTTTGTGAATTACTCTCATTCCCTCATTTCAAAAATATGGTAACTATTTGCAAGAGGCATGTGCATGACAGGCATCTCAAGTACTAATTATTATCCAAGTAAAATACTTAATACAATTTTACATGTATAAGTTGATATAAAAATGCATCATGTAGTTGAATATGGTGCAACCACGTTTGGTGCGTGTATGTGGTGCATGTATGTGTGTCATCTATCGCAGGGTACATCGAATGAGAGTAGCTTGTAAACCAAGTATAATGACTGCAATAGAAAAGAAGAATATGCTTTTTGAATCTCACATGAACAGCTTCAGTACAGAACAGTATTGGGTATCTATATCCTATGCTCTAATGTTCCTCTTACGATTTATCTTTTTATTCATGTATGCTGTTGCATTTTTCTTTGTGAGTAGAATGAGATTGTCATCTAGATATTACCTCAAACTGTTTTCAGGTTCCACTTCAACAAGAATTGTCTGATTGTTCAGTGGTCTGGAGACAACCCCAACAGCCTGGCAGGTAAATGGTTTTCTTCATTTTTAACTTTTACACATTCTTTGATCACAAAATTTTTATCATGATTTCTGTATGTCACACATTCACCTGGATTTTTGGTCAACTTATGATGCCTGTAAGTAACCTAAACTTTAGTGGTTATTCACGGTGCCACAAGGTTACGTAAATGTTGGCATACTAATTTCTCATATTTAGTTGCATTTATTAAATTTTTTTGTTTAGAATTTTTACCTTTTTTTAAAAAAATAAATAAATAAATAAAATAAAAATTAGACAGTAGCATTTTTTCCCCAAATTTCCAGTCATCCACTTCCTTTTGTATCAGTGCCTCAGTGGAATTTCTTCGGTAAGTGGAGCAACAAGTTACTGGGAAATGGTTTGTTGTCTCCATTGCCTGGCTTTGCCAAAAGCAGTGTCTTCATGCTTACCAGTGTTTTACTTGGTTTCAATCCATTGACAGCTTCACGTTGACTTCTGATTTGCTTTCCTTCCCTTATGACAGTTTTAATGCGGTTTCATCATATTATCATATTTTCTTTGTCTTAACTGCAAACTGACTGATGGCATTTCAAACCCGTAGGTTTGACCCTCAATACTCCAGGGGATCTGGCAATTAGTCTTGGCACTAGTGACACTGTAAGTTGAAAAAGATACGATCTTAATTTCTTCCTTTCTAATGTTCCTTTATAACTAATCTTTATATACATCGTCTTATTGATCCCTCCATTAGGCCTTTTCTTATCCATACATGATATTATTTTTGTGCTCAACTAAGTTTGACCTTGCTCTAACTAGCCATACTAAACATTTGCATTGGCTTTATTAGCTATTCATACATGTGTTTAATTCCCACACTTGAACCTTAAGAAAATCCAGTCAGCCATGATATTCTTCAAAGGCTTCCTTAGTTTCCACCTAGAGGTTTTATTGCTGCCTGCCTGTTTTTGCTCTGATGTGGCTTGTTACGCATAGAGGCTGAAGCTTGAGCCTGCTAATTTTTCTGGTGAGAAAACTTGTAGAAGCTAAATAATGAGCAGAACTACAAGCTGTTTAAGAGTGATTGGATTGCTTACCTGTCTTATTTAGGGCATCTAAATTGTAGTTCCACTTTTCAATGCCATTATAAATTTCTTATATGCTATGTTTGGCGGCACCGAATTGGCGCTTTGGATTTGGAATTGGAGAAAATTTAGTTAAAAAATTTAACTAAACATCTTCCAATTCCAAATCCAATGATGCACTGATTCGGTGCTCCAAAACATAACAATAGTGTCTTGCAATTCCTTAGTGGAACTTCAATATCTTTTGTTTGGTTTATTTTGTTTATCTTGAAATTTGATTCCTAAGAAGTAAAATTCACTTTCATTCTTATCAATCAGGTATTTGGGATCACTAGCAATCCTCAACCAAGTTTAGAAGGGCATGTTTTTCCTAATCCCGTGGATGCAAAAGGTTACATGGTTATGTTGTGCTATAAAAATGGGTCTCTGACTCGTGAAGGTACTACTCCATATCTGATATATAATTTTATTGATAAGGAATACATGGAGTTTCCTCTATTGACAATGTGATCACATTGTCACAACGTTACCAGATGTGCGTAACCGGTGTGCGGATAAATCTTGGGATGCTTTCGATACATTTCTTCAACAAACCCCTCCTCTAAATGGTTTGTAAACGTATTTTCTTTAAGTTTAAAATATTAGTTCTTTTCAGTTTCTGGTTTCTCATATTCCAGTATGCCATAGGTGGAAAGATGGGCTTTTACTACAAGGAGCACGAAATACTTCCTCCCCTCCCTGGTGGGTTAATGGTTTGCTTTTAACATTTTCTAAAGGCGGTCTGGCAATATATATATATATATATTTCCTTTTAATGAAGAATTCTGGTCAGGGGTGCATTCAATCTCTCAAAAATACTTCTGCATATTCTAAAGGTGGTCTAGATATATATTATAATGATATTTTGTGGTCTGTACTTGGATATAAAACTGGCCTAACAAGATGATTCATTACAGATTATCTGTGCTGCTTAAAGAGTAATGTCACTTTTTTATTTTTTTATACCATCAAATAGTCCTAATACAATATCGATAGATAATTTAGCTCTAGATTTATGTATGTTCTTAACCATGTATTTTTATACCTTTATTGTCATTTATCACAAGAATGGTCAAATGAAAAATTCCAAAAATTGTTTATGAATTCAGTTGGTTTCCACCGTTACATTCTGGAGAACTTTACGGGCGAGACTTTAGATGGCGTAAGTGAACGTGAAGTGGAGGAATTTGATCCTCCTGCTGAGGTTAGTGTCTTAGATAAATAGTTTGTTTGCATGAGACAGATGACATCCTTGACATTTGCGCTTTCATTCAGATTAAATAAATTCAATTACAGGTTCGAGCATTGATAGAGGGCCAATTTCTATCCATGCGAGCTCATGCTGAAAGATTTGGGATGCCATCACCTCCAAAGCGAATAATAGCTACTGGTGGAGCATCAGCAAATACTAGCATTCTGAGTGTAATAGCTTCCGTTTTTGGCTGTGATGTTTATACAGTCCAAAGGCCGGGTAAGTAGTCAATCCCTTTCACTCATAACTACCAAATTTTTTATTTATGACCGAATACAATATACTCAGCTTAACATCGCTTTGTCTGATTATAAATTGTATGTAGTTCATATCCCACTGAAAACAACGTTAAATCAATTATCAGTATCACAGTCTCACTCTGTTCATATGCGAACCTTAGCTTTACCCAAATATAAATCCTGAATTGGAGTTGTTCATATCCCACAGAAAACGTACATTAATTAAATCAATTATTAGCTACTTGAACAAACGGCCCTATGCAAATTCTTTGTTTGTAGCTGAGGGAGTTTTGAACTTGTGATTTTTATGTTCTTTCTGCTTCATGGTGTTATGCTTTGCTGATGGCGAATCTTCTGTTATTGCTTGGCAGACTCAGCTTCCCTAGGAGCTGCATTGAGGGCTGCTCACGGTTGGCTGTGCAACAAAAAGGGCAGTTTTGTGCCCATTTTGGGTATGTACAAGGACAAGCTGGAGAACACTTCTCTTGGCTGCAAGCTATCAGTGACTGCCGGAGACCGAGAACTTGTCACCAAGTATGCTCTGCTGATGAAAAAGAGAATGGAGTTTGAGAATCGCCTTGTCCAAAAGCTGGGGCGTTGCTAAAATTGAATAATTTTGAAAGAGAGTTTTAAAATGTCATGCCAACCAGAGTCAGATGTGACATGGCATTGTGGTAATAAATGGAACCAAATGGAAAGGATTTACATGTTTTTGGTGGAATTTAGGTTAACTAAATATTAATATTTCATAGTGACAATAATTTTATCATATTTGTAGATAAATAATAGTGAGAACCGTTTTAGTTAATTTCAACATGTTCATGATTTACTTTATAATTTATGCTATATAAACAGGAAAATGTTATAGAATTTTTCCCAATGACATTGGCATAATATGTTGGTCTCTTGTTACCCTTTAAAACAGGCGGCAATCGATGTGCTTTATAATTTGAAAAATGCTACTGCCATATCTTTAAGAAATCAGAAAAGATAAAAACTGTTTTTCAGAAATTATAAAAACTGATTCAAAGAAAACATATAATTTTTAAAAGAAAAAAAATGCAGAAAACTAATAATCGAACAAGTTTTGTACAATTTTCAAATTTTTAGTTTTCTAAAAAAAAAAAAAAAAAAAAAAAAACCATTTGGTTCACAATAATATGAGCGAGCAATAGAGACTTGGGCATCTTTCGGGCTGATTCTGAAATACCAACTAGTATATCAGGTCAAATACTTGCCTTTTGACCCTCAAAGTAATGCTCATTCCTATTCATTTTTCATTCGAATTCAATGTGTGATGAACGCTTTAAAAGGTAATTTCGCAGTACAACTCTTGTGATGGTCCCATAACTTGTGATACACCAACACATTTATAATAAAAATTTATTATATGCTCCCTGAATTATTGCTGCAAATCAATTACGAATGTATCAACTTTATTTAGTTTTAATATTTTTTTATTTTTTATTTTTTCGCCTTCGGTGTCAATCAGGGATTAATTTCTCCATCTCTCTTTTGTAAATGTGTTAACTGACATAACTGGTCATCTTAAAGAGACGTTCAATGTTAAAAGTAGAAGATGGTGGTTGTTTCGCGTTGTTGCCCGAAGTAAATATACAGCAAACTCTCCTAAATTCTACCATACCAATCTTTTCTTTGCTCCGATGGAGGATTGCTATCTACCTCAGGACTCCCTTTTTCTTGGATTCGACTGTTCCACTCAGTAAGTGTCTCTTCTTCCCTTCACTTCATTCTTCAATTCTGCTTAGCACATCTCAATCTTAAGCGTTTGTACTGTTTTATATTTCTGGGTTCTTTTGAGTCTCTTGAGTTTTATCGTTAATCAAATCAAATGTAATGATTTCTTGTACTGTTTATGACTTAAATCACTAAATTGGTTTTGACTTCAGTCGGGTATTTCTTAAATATTCATAATTTTGAGTAATTCAGGACCTTTTTACTGAATTTGTGAAGCTTTGGTCATTGAAGGCAACTGTTTTAGACTTCAGATCAGATGTAATGATATTTTGTACTGTTTATGACTTAATCACTAAATTGGTTTTGACTTCAGTTGGGTATTTCTTAAATTGTTCAAAATTTTGAGTAGTTCATTCCTAAACTAGGACCTTTTACTGAATTTTGTGAAGCTTTGGTCATTTAGGTCAATGAAGGCCACTGTGTTAGACTCCAATCTGAAAATTGTCACTTCAGAAATAGTTAGTTTCGATTCTGAATTGCCCCACTACAAAACCAAAGATGGTGTTTACCGAGATCCATGTGTTGACGGCCGAATTGTTTCACCCACTTTGATGTGGGTTGAAGCATTGGATCTTATACTTAAGAGACTTGTGAAATTGAAATTGGATTTTGGGAAGATTGTTGCTGTTTCCGGTAGCGGACAGCAACATGGTAGTGTATATTGGAAAAATGGGAGTTTGGCAAAATTGACATTGTTGGACTCGAAAAGGGCAATGGTGGATCAACTTGGTGATGCCTTTTCGATAAAGGAATCTCCCATATGGATGGACAGCAGCAGCACTCAACAGTGCAAAGAGATTGAGAAAGCTGTTGGAGGTGCTTTGGAGTTATCTAGACTTTCTGGATCTCGTGCTCATGAGAGGTATGCCGGCCCACAAATTCGGAAGATATTTGAGATGCAGCCAGAAGTTTATCGCGATACAGAGAGGATCTCTCTTGTTAGCTCCTTCATGGCTTCTCTACTTATTGGGGCTTATGCTTGTATTGATGAAACGGATGGTGCAGGGATGAACTTGATGGATATCAAGCGAAGAACTTGGTGTAAAATAGCTTTGCAGGTTTGCCTTTTGTACTTTTTAGTTTGAAGATAAACTAAATCTAATTAATCACACACAACTGACAAAGAAACCAAACCGTGATAGATCATAACTGAAGGAAAAAGCGTAAATGTTGCATATTAGGCTTATTGAAACAGAATCACTTCCAACATGTCATTATTTAAACGTCATATCTACAGTTATAAATTTTATAATTTCAAATAATGGTTTATTGTTCTGTGATCGAGCATGCTTCTATGTTTCTTATAGGCCACAGCACCAGGTTTGGAGAAAAGACTAGGAAAGTTAGCTCCTGCACATGCTGTTGCTGGTTTTATTGCTCCCTATTTTGTGGAGAGGTTAGTGGCACACTGTCTGTGAATTTGCAACATTTATGATGTTCTATTGAGATACACTTGATATGAGCTTCATTTGGTATAGCCTTTGTATTCCTCCAACTGTTTTGTGGTTAACTTGATCACCAACACGCAGATGTTAGTGTTTGATGACTGTTTCGGACCTGAATTACAACTTGTTAATTGCAGCTTAAATTCAATGAGCTTAATAGGACCAGTTTTATGGACTTCGAATGACCCCAATGTTTAAATAGATGGTATATTTTATAAGAACATAACATTGACAACTTCGTTTTTAACTCAGTCATGGTAGCAGCATTTGATATAAACTTCAAATTTCCAACAAAATTCAACTCTATTGAACTGGGAGAAGAATACACACACACACACACACGCATATATATATACTGCTAGACGTCTCGTACTTGTAGAACTAGATTCGTAATATTAATTTTTGGAACTTTAACTACTAAGATTATTCTAGACCATTAGAGACTACATATAAAGATCATACAACGTCAGAGACCTAGAATAAGAACTATAGATCACTACTACAGCTCATGTCTTGCAAATTTAGAAAAAACCACAATACTGTTGGACTCCTAGAACTTGAGAATTTATAAATAAAAATGACTAGCAGCATATTTATTTAAAAGTAAAATAAATGAAGACTCGACTCGCTATCAAGGACACTTTCTTTTAAGATCAAGTTTACTGGAATGGCTGGAGGCCCATCGTCGGGGCACTTTTCTTTAACTATCTTGATATCTCATCAAACTTCTTTCAGGTTCCACTTCAACAAGAACTGCTTGGTTGTTCAATGGTCTGGTGACAATCCCAACAGCTTAGCAGGTTAAAGGTTTTCTACGTTTGTAACTCTTTATGTATACTCTTTGATAAAGAATTCCTTACAATTTTGTCCCTCATTCTTTTCCTAGGTTTTTGCTTACTTTCCGGTGTAATCTATGATTTTATGGTTATTTTTAGTGTCATCAGGTTAAATTCACAGTTTATAATTGCTTTCACAATGGGAAAAATGACATCTTACTGAGTTTCTCCAAGTCATATATTTTTGTATGGCTTCTGCTCTTGTGCCATACACTATTTGCAGCTCCGGGTTGATCTCTCCTCTCCAAAGGGGAAGTTGAGAGTTCGAGCCCTGCTAGGGGCATGTTGTGGATGTGTGGTTGCTTAACTTCCAATATATATATATATATATATATATATTAACCACCTTGGCCTACCCTTGTTAATGTGGATTTAACTGAGTCTTACATAGAGTAAGGGCAGTGTTGTGTTTTAGAAAAATAATCACCCCAGGCAGTTGGGGTAAGATGTGGAATTCTAGATCAAATGTTATTAATTAACTGAGAGTTTGATAATGAAAGGAGGAAAATTAGAAATGCGGAAAGAAAGCAACTATTACATTTGAGTGTCACCTAGGACTTTCTCAGATTATGCTAGTTCACAATATGATAGCTTAGAGCTAAAAGGAAAGTATGAAAAACTATTTAACATAGTGTCTAACAATGAAGGCGAGTTGCTTAGTTAATGCGTATAATCTTCTTTGAAGACAGGCATGCAAGTTATTCTTTATTTATTTGCACATGTGCATGCTCCATGATTAGAATTTTACTAATAATTTCTTTAATATGAGTTTTGTAACTTTGTGTTTCTTAGCCATACCAATTTGCCAATTCTCCACTTGTGCATTGGTCGTTTTACCTTTAATTATGTTTTTACGATTAATGAGTTATTTGAAACATGTAGTTGTCTCTATTGCAAGAATTTGCCAAAAGCAACGGCTCCATGCTGCTAGTATTTCTACTTGATTTTGCTCTGTTGACTGATTGAGAAAAATGTGGATTATGGTTTCCTATTTCACACAAACGGCAGTCTTAATCTTGGCATGTCATATCACCTCAACTGTCATATTCTCTCACTCTCATAATTGCTTATTGATTAAAAGAATTTTGACCCTGTAGGTTTAACCATCAACACTCCAGGGGATCTGGCAATTAGTCTTGGCACCAGTGACACTGTAAGTTCAAAGATATATATTCTTGATTTTTTGCCTATCTTATTGCAATTACCCCTTTCATAGGTTTCTTTCTAGGCCATTTACTATATTATTTCTGCATCAATTTAGTTTAATGAGCTTAACCAAACATCTAATTCAATGGCCCAGACACTCATATATGTCTCTGAATGCCGCATTACAACCTATACATAGCACAAACTCAATAGCATCGATACTCTATAAAGCATACTCAATTCTTCAAAAAGAAAAAAACATATCTCATTCGCGCCTAGAGGTTCTACTCCTTGGCTTGTTGGTTGTTAAGCAAGTGAGCTTAGCTTTTTTTGCTTGTGAACAAGCTTGGAAACTAATTAATCATCCAAACTCAAGCTGCTAGTTTCGTATGAACCTTCTTTCTAGGCATTCCCCATTAAATGCTATTCTGCCTATTCATGTCTAATGTCATGAGAAAAATACCTGTTATTTTGATTTATTCTATTTTTCTTAAATCCTGGTTTATACTTGAAATCTGATCATGATTATCAATCAGGTATTTGGAATTACCAGTGATCCTCAACCAAGTTTAGAAGGACATGTTTTTCCTAATCCCGTGGATACAGAAGGATACATGGTAATGTTGGTTTATAAGAATGGCTCTCTGACTCGTGAAGGTAATACACATATCTGATATTATAATTCTATGAATTTCAGCAAGGCAATATCTGAAGTTCCTTCAATTGACAATGTCACCACACCTTGATAGATGTGCGTAATTGCTACGCCGATAAATCTTGGGAAGTCTTCAGCACATATCTGCAGCAAACACCACCTCTAAATGGTTGGCAAATATATCCTTTCAGTTTAGTTTATACATTAGTTAATACCTCCCATGTGGTTTCTCATATTCCGTTCGCTGCAGGTGGAAAGATAGGTTTTTACTACAAGGAGCATGAAATTCTTCCTCCCCTCCCAGGTAGGTTTGTAGCCTTTTCTCCAATAAATTTCAGTGGTGGTGTTTCAAAATATGTATGATTTATTTTCTATTATTAAAAACTACAGATCCCGGGGTATTGCATAATTAATATCTCGCTTTAAAATACTTGTGCCACACATTGGACTAGGGTGTCATGACCATTTTTTTTTCTTTTGGTTTCTACTTGGTAGTTGGATAGTATTGTCGATGAATCTAACATGGACACGACGGGTTTTTCTAATCAACTAATGTTATTTGTGCTGGTTAAATTTAATAACGCCAATCAGACCAGTGAAAAATTTAACATGTCAAAATGAATGAAGTAACTTAATTGGGGAAAGCTTTGGAGCACAAGGTCTCCTTAGTGCCATCCATGAAACAGCGTGCCACATTCATTTGCTCAATTTTTTGTCTGACAAGACAAAGTATGGGCGAAGGTCCAGATTTACAGATGATCTTGGGGTGTTGTAAGTTGTAACAAGAACAATCAAATGCTAAACTCATGAGTTGCTTATGCGTCCAGCTGGCTTGCACCGTTACATCCTTGAGAATTTTACGGGTGACATTTTGGACGGCCTAAGTGAACGTGAAGTGGAGGAATTTGATCCTCCTTCAGAGGTTTGTAGTCTTGGATACAGATTTCTGATTACCACAGGTAGAACTTTTTTTTCTTAAAACTGAACAAATTCCTTGCTTTCAGGTCCGAGCATTGATTGAGGGCCAGTTTCTCTCTATGCGAGCTCATGCTGAAAGATGTGGGATGCCTTCTCCAAAACGCATAATAGCCACTGGTGGAGCATCAGCAAATCTTAGCATTCTGAACTCAATAGCTTCCATTTTTGGCTGTGATGTGTATACGGTCCAAAGACCAGGTAGCTACTAGTCTCTACTTATTTGCTCAACATAGCCTTATCCAAATTATGAACCTTTAACCGCATAGGTATATGATATCAAAAAAGTTATTGGTCTGGCAATCTCGTTCATGCTCTACCCCCAACTTATATTAGTCTGTGCTGCACTACTTGATGGTGCATGTAACAGATTTTTTTTTTTTTTTTGCATGTTGTTTTGATAAGATTCTTGTTACATCATCATCTTTTGCTCTTGCATAATGTCAAAACCTTTATGCTTGCTTGACAGACTCTGCTTCACTAGGAGCCGCGCTGAGGGCTGCTCACGGCTGGTTATGCAACGAGAGAGGCAGTTTTGTACCCATCTCATGTATGTACATGGACAAGTTGGAGAAGACATCTCTGAGCTGTAAGCTTTCAGCGACTGCTGGAGACCGAGAACTCGTCACCAGGTATGGTTTGCTGATGAAGAAGAGAGTGGAAATTGAGAACTGCCTTGTCCAAAAGCTGGGACGTTGGTAATATTGAGATAAAGAATAAGGCACTAGCTTGAAAGAGGAAATTCTCAACCAGTATCGTGTCACATTGTATTGTGGTAGTAGCGTAATTGAACCAGATGTTATGGGTTTTACAATTTCTTGGTGAACTTCAAATAATACTTGCATTTCTTATACAAACTGAGTTGATTGTAAATACCACTAAAAAAATTGATTGTAAATGACAAATAATATTGATAGTAATGATAATGATAAAGGATGGTGGTTTAAGTTTATTTGTTTTCTTCAACACTTCACTCTCTCTTCTTCTTATTCCTCTATATATATATATATATATTGTGTGCGTGTTGTTTACGTTTGTGTGCCCATATTTGCATGTGTATATAGTATACAATTTCAAAGGTCAAGTCTGTAACCAGTTCATGTAAACAAAACAATACTTCAAATATAAGGCCAATTACTGAGATAATAGGATAGATAAATGTCACAGCACAGAACAAAGAAAATTATAGTGGCAATACCAAGACTAAGTGCCTTGAAACAACCATGTCTCAGGAACACACACACCACACACATCAAGAACACTAACACCACATAATAGCAGAGTACGTAATGCATGAACTGCAAGTGACAAGACCTTGGATTAGTACTCATCTCCGTCATCGCCATCCTCACCCTCAGCTGACTCTGCACCAACCTCCTCATAGTCCTTTTCCAAAGCAGCAAGATCCTCACGAGCTTCACTGAATTCTCCTTCCTCCATGCCCTCACCAACATACCAGTGCACAAATGCACGCTTAGCGTACATGAGATCAAACTTGTGATCAATGCGGGAGAACACTTCAGCAACACTGGTTGAGTTAGAGATCATGCACACAGCTCTCTGCACCTTTGCAAGGTCACCTCCTGGAACAACAGTTGGTGGCTGATAGTTGATACCACACTTGAATCCGGTTGGACACCAATCAACAAACTGAATTGTTCTCTTGGTCTTGATAGTTGCCACCGCTGCATTCACATCCTTGGGCACAACATCACCACGGTACATCAGGCAGCATGCCATGTACTTTCCATGGCGCGGGTCACATTTAGCCATCATGGATGAGGGCTCGAAAGCACTGTTGGTGATCTCTGCCACTGAGAGCTGCTCGTGATAGGCCTTCTCAGCTGAGATGACAGGAGCATATGAGGAAAGCATAAAATGGATCCTGGGGTAGGGCACAAGGTTGGTCTGGAATTCAGTCACGTCGACATTTAGGGCACCATCAAACCTCAACGAGGCAGTGAGGGATGAGATAACCTGGATTAAAAATAGCATGGAAACAACACAAACTATTATTGTTCCTGATAGTTCAAAAGAGCTAATAGCTCGGATTTCCTAGGTATAATCAATACTGCTAGTTTACCTGAGAAACAAGGCGATTGAGATTAGTGTAGGTGGGGCGTTCAATGTCCAGGGAGCGCCTACAGATATCATAAATGGCCTCATTGTCAAGAAGCACAGCAACATCAGTGTGCTCAAGAAGAGAGTGGGTCGAAAGGACACTGTTGTAGGGCTCCACAACCGATGTGGAGACCTGTGGTGAGGGATAAACAGTGAAACCAAGCTTTGATTTCTTGCCATAGTCAACAGAGAGACGCTCCAAAAGAAGCGACCCAAGGCCAGAACCAGTGCCACCACCAACAGCATTGAACACAAGGAAACCTTGAAGGCCAGTGCAGTTGTCCGCAAGCTTCCGGATACGATCCAAGCAGAGATCAACAATTTCTTTCCCAACTGAAAGACAAAATGACACAAATTTTAAGCATTTGGATAAAAGCAATTATTCAAGAAATACGACAAAGAAAGGGTCTTATTAACTGGTATAGTGGCCACGTGCAAAGTTGTTGGCGGCATCTTCCTTGCCACTGATGAGCTGCTCAGGGTGAAAGAGCTGGCGATATGGTCCGGTTCTAACTTCATCAATAACAGTGGGCTCGAGGTCAACAAAGACAGCACGAGGGACATGCTTCCCTGCTCCGGTTTCACTGAAAAACGTGTTGAAGGCATCATCCCCACCACCAACTGTCTTGTCACTGGGCATTTGGCCATCAGGCTGAACACAAATACAAAAAAATAACACAGTTAAAATCAAAGCTAACGAGCAAGAGACACAATACTAGATCTAGTATCACATATAAAAACCATATCATAAATGATTTTTAAAATAAAATGGGGAAAAATCCACAATTGATCATCCACAAGAACCCAAGATCATGACCTTGCACAGACCCAATTCTTCTGAAACTAAAAGAAATCAAATTTGGTATATCCCATACTCAAAATATAATAATTAATACCTAGAGTTCAAAATAAAGCATACAATTTCGAAAGAATTGCAAACAATACTGTATTTACTGGAATTGACTACATATAACAAAATACAACTAGCTTTTACTATTGCAGCACCACTCTGAACACATTATAACCCTAGAACGAGAGAAATTATCAACAGAAAGCACATAGATCACATACCAAATAAAACACAATTTGAAACAATTAATATAAAAAAAGTATATATAATGTGTATGTGTAAACTATATGTAAACTAGACATAAACAAATATATATATATAGAGAGAGAGAGAGAGAGAGATGGAGGAAGACATGTAACCTGGATGCCATGCTCGAGACAATAAAGTTCCCAGCAAGCATTGCCGACCTGGATACCGGCCTGACCAATGTGGATCGAAATGCACTCTCTCATTTTCACAAGTTTTTGGATAAAAAAAACCCTAGAAATTGCGAAGCGAAGAATAAGAAGATAGGAATGGACGGCGTTTATGAAGACGCCTTCTGATGATGGATTTCAGAACACTTTTGTGTATTGGCTTATGCCTCTGTATATACGCATATATAAGGGCCAGACAGATGGGAGAAGAAATATCTGGTAAACTAACCATAGTTAGTTAACCGCGGTTATCGTTCAATGCCAGCCAAGAACAGGCTTAATCATTGCCCAGCGTAACCACCATTTAACCGTGGTTAAGTTTTACCCGCCAGATTTTTTATTTTTGATATTTTGAAGAAAATAGGTTTAAGTTTCACTGAAATTGCACAACTGCCACCCTACTTAAAAAAGCTTTTTAGGTAGGTTGGTGAATGGAGAAGGGTAGAAACGTCATTCAAAGCATCTGAAAATATATTTTGGACATTTTATTTTATTTACTCGTATTATTATTGTTTTATTTTATGTTAGTTTATTTTTGTTTTAGGAGCCCACGAGATTGATTGTCCGCAAATGACTGAAGGCACATGCATTGTCCATGGCAGTTGAGATGTTAGCATAGAATTTGAGCCCTTGTTTCTTTCCGTGGCCCGCTTTGATTTGGATTCACTAATATTTATCTCAATTGCTTCAAAATGAAGCATAGTTGTTTAATGAAAGCATTAACTTATGTGAAGTGTTATAAATTATCGATCTACAGGAAAATAATCTTGACCCGACTTCATTTAATTTCGATTCATATTGTAGCCCAGGTTATTGCGAGGGGAGTATTGTCACACATCAGATTCGGATGGAAAAATAAATTGGTATATATAAACTGAGTGTTAATCCCATCTAACAACTTAAGCTTTTGGATTAAATCGCAAAACAACCACCCGTTACAGTTGGGTATCAGAACCAGCGCTCGGGTTGGAAGAGTTCGGGTGTTCTGTCTAGGGTAAGCAGAGTGGCTTGACCGCAACGAGGGCGTTGCGAGTTCGGATAGGGAAGAATGTTATAAGAAAAATTTTGTTTCACATCGGATCCGAATAAAAAAAATAAATGGGTATATATGGGCTAGGTATTAGCTCCCACCTAACAACTTATTTTTTTGAATCACATCGCGAAACACCCATCCGTTACACAAGCCATAATGCCCTATTAAGTAGTGTTGGGATCTGGACAGTACAACATCGTATTGTAAGTTATAACTTAATTGTTTACAACATTTTGATACTTATAAACGGTTCATCGTTGTTTGATCTGAGATCAATAATTAAGTGTGAAGTGAGATCAAACCTGATGATCCTAAGTCTAAAATCACGATAAACACTAAAGGGCCTTTGACGTAGTGGTATAACCTCTCCATCTTAAAAAAGGACGAGAAGGAGTTCGAGTTCCGGCGTGAACAAAAAAGTGCGTCAAAAATAAATAAATAAAAAACAATGAGCAAACCACGAACCTCTCCGTCGCGTGTGTAAGATGCAGGGAAATGTGCGTGAAGGGGGAAATCTTTCTCTGATTACAGGATGACCGCGGATTATAGGGTGCTCCATGGGTGAGACTAGCTTGAACCAAAACCTTCCAAGTAGGGTCTTTAAACTAGCTTGAACAAGTTCTTCCAACCTTACCAAATACAAGCTAGTATATCCAAAGAAAATTCAATTTTTTGGTGTCCAGAACTAAATATCAATTTACATAAACATAAATATCTTGTAAATTTTCTTCAAGCTTTATTTTTTATGATCTGATGCTCTAAGTTACCAAAAATACTTATTTCAATTCCAATTTCAAAGCGCGGATTCTGAAATGCAACATTAGTGTTACATGTTGAACTCACTATAAGCACTAAATCAAGGTCAAACCATTTCGAATGCTACACCACCAACTTCATAGGATTTTACATATTTCATTTTTGCACATACTGTCATGCACATATTTTTTACTGCAACCATAGTATCATCACTCTGATTTCAACAAACACACAGGGCTCATGAAAATATCATGAGTTCCTCTATTTTCATATCCAGAAAGTACCAAGCAATTAACAACTTGAATTGTTAACGCACGAAGAAACATTTCACACCCATCTTCATGGCTCGATAATTGTTCGTGGGAAAGAACAGCAATACAACGGTACTTTAACAGAGTGAAAAATGGCGTATTCCACGAAGATTAACACAAAGAATATCATCTACAAGGCCAGAAATCATGACATCTCGGAAAACAATTCTTATGAAATCAAAAGCTTTCGTTGTGTTAACTTACAATCAGCTGGACGAACGAGGAGAGCAGCTGAAATACCTGGAAATTGTTCCCGGAGCAACAATCCGAGTCGATACAGTGGCTGCTCCCCTGTATTATGAGGTCCTGCCTCCATCCGAGAAGAAAAAGTTTGCATGAATATGATGCTATCGTTCACCACGACAACAGAACAACATAATCAATACCATGACGAAAGCAACTAACAACCTACCACATCTTCAAATTTGTGCAAGCTTTCTTAAAAAATCTAAAGCATATCAAACATCAATCCATGGATCTTCTAAACATTGGAAAGAAGAATTTAAACCGCAGTAACAACTAGTCAATCAAACCATGAATTACGAAGATATATAATCACTACAAGACAATCTTATTCCTTTGACAAATAATAGAAGCTCTGTCATGTCCTTGTATGAACAAGAGAGCATTACGAGGCAAAAACTAAAAAAAAACAAAAACAAGCACATAAAAGAGAAAAAATGGTCATGTAAATCTATTGTACCAACATAAACTGAATTCACACGAAGGATTTTGAAAAAAAAAAAAAAAAAAAAGATTTTGCGTGATCTAAATGACAACTTTTCATTCGCAAACTAAACTGTTCAGCACTTCAACTTGTTGAAAGATCAATATCAGTACGAAGAAACCTATAATGACTAGCAGTAACCAGTAAGTTTGACGATAAAACAGACCTCATAGTTGTTTGCTTCGTTTTAAAACAGGGAAACAGGTGACTATTCATTCCAAAGCCATTGTGGAATGATGACATTCTGTAATGACATCCTAAACATCATCACATCTATATTGCGTCGAATAAATCAGAGTGAAAAGTTTTCTTCGGATACTGATTGCTATATTATTCTACACATAACAGAAATTCCAACCATATTAATGAAAACTAAATATCAAAAGAAGATTGAATAGACTTAGGGTTAAAAAAATAAAAAAGGAAGCAGGAATAATAGGATTGTGATGTGGCAACAAGTTCGTTCACCGGGCATATATAATAATGATGAAGTAGACAGATGGGTGTTACTTTTTTTAAATGGTCCCCCATTCATGCTGATCAATATCATGTACAAGTGTTACATTCATAAATCACAATCAACATCCAATTTAACCCCGAGATTTTTATAGCAGAAACATGACACTCTAACAATACCAACCAGAAACACATGTTCGTCCAAATGAACGACCCTTAAAAGTAATGTATTTCCACCAAGAAATGATTTTCATAAATACAATTCAGCCAAAATTAGAAAAGAACATAAAGAAAAAGAACTGGAATCCTATGCTATTGAAATGCATCTACATGAAATTTTATGAGAAATCATATATCGGAGTAATTTTTTTTTATATGACAGACAAATTTAATGTACATTATTTTGGATGGAGAATGTGCACAGAAATTTTGTTCGTACAACGTCTTTCAAATAGTATCAGTGACAACGGAAACAAGATGGAAAATGCAGATTTAATTACGTAAAGGTTTTATGGCAATAATCAAATAGAGAACACTAATGTATATAATGTATTAATCTCTACAATGGAGCAAACAAAAGAAATTCTGTAGTTCGATGTTAACAACTCAGACAAATTGTGGCATTGCATGAAACCTAACCATAACATCGCAACAAAAAGAAAATGCAATCACAACAATAATTTGTCATAGTTGAGCACCTTTCACAAACATCTAACTTTAAATAAAAACCTCTATGATAATCATCACGTCGAGCCATGAATTCTGAAAAGCATAACGCAATTGTTTAGTACTTTTTTCAGGAAACACTGCAGGGTATTATTGGCCTCGACTGATATAAATCGTTTCATGGACAAAACGAATCCATTTCCACAAAAGATACTGATAAAAAACACTAGGTATATATATAAACTCCTTAAGATCAAATCATGCTCACTACTCGAAACAATGAGGAACACGAGTAAATCGTAGTAGAAATAACTCCACTGTTTGGTTCATCCTTCTTAATTTAACAAGTTTAAAATGCACAAGAGTCATAAAACTAAAAGAAAATTCGGAAAACCTAAATTAACAGACCATATAGCAAACTTTAAGCTCTTTTGCTTAGAGACAAGTCTTATGATTGAATTAAACACTAAATAACGCACTTAAGCTTAAATTTAACCACAGAATAACACACTTATTTCAATTTCAACACACTCATCAATTCAATTCTTTTATTCATCATTTCAATACATTATTTCTACAATTAAAAACACTTATTTCATTTCGAACACATTAAATTTTCAAGAAAACACTAAATAACATATATATATATATATATATATATATATATATATATATTTTAATTCTTTCTTGTCTCAATGGGTAATAAGAAGAATCAGAGAAACTGCTAAGGACCCACATATTCAATATATATCAACTGAATTATAAATGCCCATATAACCAAATATAAACATAAAAATAAAATAAAACAAAGAGAATTGAAATCAAAATTATGCCAACTTTGCATTTATACATGTATTGAAAATTGGGGAATACATACATCATCATCAATATCACGATAACTATCAAATACAACATTTTGCATACATATATTGCCCTCCTCTTGAAATTACCGTGACATTAGACGACTCATTTTGCTTCTCCTCTTCTTTTCGAAAATCTGAGGAAATTTTTTAAAATAAAAATTAAGAAGAAAAATAATTACAAAAGATTTATGTATATATATATATATATATATATTGCCTGGCTTCCTCCTGTCTGCCATTTTCGATCGTGGGTTTCACAGAGAGAACTACATTGTACGACTATATCTGTGAATGCCCAAAAACGACCTTCGATTTACAAAGCAATGGTCAGACAATATCTCTTCAGAGCCAG